AATAGCGTGCAACTATATTCTTTATTCGACCTCATTAATTTAATGAAAGCATCATCTAAACAACTGGTCAATTATTGTTTTGATGATGCTACTGTTTTTATACAGGATGGAGGATGATGAAAAACAAAATATATTTAATTGCGCCATTCTTCGTTTCCTAACTCGTTGTTGTCCATATCTACGGCAAATGGATACCTCCATGAGAGATTTCTTATGTTGTGCATTAATTACATCTCTCGAAGTATGCTTGATGATTTGTTTGCAATAAGCTATAAATTGTTCTAGAAATATATTGAGTTTTATCAGTGAAATGCACTATTCTTTGTTAATAAGAGCGTATAGGTTGTAGCAGCAAAAATCCTAATATCCCTTGATCAAAATGCAGTAGTATCGTTATCGAAGCAAGTAGTTATGTAAATCTTTTTGTTAAAGCACCCTTACTTATTCTACGTATACATTAGTTTCTGCCATAACTGGCTGATGAAAAGAAATATCAAATAAAAAGTTGTATCAGTGCAGCATTAATCCACTGAGAACCATGCATTATCTCTGTTGATTTCAGAGTGCTAATGAATTTTGGGGGCAGTGTAAATCAAGATCTTATTTGTTATTTAGCAGCATGTCTGTGAAATTATTCAATGAATTTGCTCAAATGATTGATAACACTAAAGATGATGTCGAATTAGCACCTTTCAGACAGGTTTGCATTATCAACGAAGCAAAAAACTGAATTTCATGATAATTGTTGCATTCAATTTTCATCTGAATTCTTACATAAATTTTTAATTTTAGGATTGGTCAGACTTCTTCTGTCCTACAGCGCAAAATATTTTGCTCATATGGTTCTTTGGGCTGACTTCATATCAAGAAAGTTCTCATTTGATGGCTCTTCAGAACGCTCTTTGTTTATCAATAAGTTACACAACCGAAGAATTTATTCGAACTGTTCCATTACCGTCTGTTTTCGATGTCGAGTTGGATCTCCTGAAGTAAAATTATAGATATATTAGAATGCCTACACTTAATTATAATTCTGTGGTTAGTGTCTAATCTAAGTTTTATTAATTAGCAAAATGTTTAAAGTACAACATTCGTTTTATACGTCAATTACAACTGGGTCATTGAAAGAATTGTTAGATCCATTGATCGTCAGAGTATCGTAGTACAATATTAGAATGAACAGTTGATGAAAAAGCACTTGGAATTGCGAAATGACTCTATTTGTAATTTATTTATCATAGCACTATTGATTGATTTCAAGAAGTTAGAGAAAATGCTCGTAAAATAATTTTTATTGATTGTAATTGTGGAACAATCGTTTCCAGCTATGATGAACATCTGCAGTCAGTCATCATACCCTTGCACACACTCATCAACTGGCCTTTTCCGGATGTTCAAATTGCTGCACTGAAAATACTGAAGTTGTATGTTAATTTCATATTTTTGTTACAAAAGATGTCAGTTTCCTGATAATTTTGTTTGATTCAATGGTTTCTTTCTATGTTTTACTTGTTTCATTTGTTAAATTCTTCATCTGCCTTGCAGAGAAGTCGGTGATGTGTACAAACTTATGAAATTATCAGTACTTATGAAATTATCAGCTAGTAGTATCCTCCCTTTTAGTGTTGTTGATTTTATTCACAAACCCTTTGTCATTGAAAATTTTCTTTTCTACAGATTAACAAAGGACATGTTGAAGATACAAAATAAGCAAAACGAAGAAAATAATCTAGGAGATGAGAAGCTTCCCTCCAATTATCAAAAACGCTTGCCAGTGCCATTCACGAGAATTTTGGATGATACAGTGATAGGCAATTGTATTTTGCCACCGAAATTGCTTATTTGGGATGCTTTTATCAGTTCTTTGAGTCAGTTTGATCTGCTCGAAAGGGTAGCATATTGCAGTGCTATGGGTCCATACATCGATCAGATCATGCCTCATTTGTTTTCTCTTCTTTCGGATCCTCATCTTTGTAAGTTTTTCCAATCGTTTTTTCTTTCTTTTTTTTTTTTTTTTTTTTTTTTTTTTAGAAAAATGGAAGATTGTTCTGCTCTTTGAAATCTACACATAATGGAAATTAAAAAGATACGTTCTGCGCTGGTAATTAGAAACAGCAAAGTGATGAATTCTTTTACAGGTGTGAATATCACTGTGGAAGTTACGGATATTGCTAAACGAGGTATACCCATTTTTCAATGCTTTATCCAATACTTTCTTTGAAAAAAAAATTTTTTTTTTCCGAAACTTTTTTTAAAAAAAGGAAAGAGATAAACAAAAGATATAGCAGGGAAATTAACGATGGTCAGCATTTAGAAAGTATTGTAACTTATATTTTGTTTAATTGTTAGTTTGAAATAACTTCTAGTTTTGGTTGGAATAAAAATACCATTGAAGGTTGAGCTGAAATGACCGTTTTTAATATATTTCTGGATAAAGTTTTTCGATGTGCTAATATCTTAATTCGGTTTATGAAGTGCGAGGCATTTGTCATTGTTTTTTTTTTTTTTTTTTTTTTTTCAAATCAACATATAAAATATTCAATAGATTAGTTATTGCGCAAAAAATAACCCAAATAGGCGAGTGGAATATATAGATTTTAGATTATTGGAATGAAATAAAATCATTATTGCCACGATATGCTTTTCGGTTATTCTACAGTACTTGCGGAATACTACCGGCAATAGTACGTCAATGGTATATAAAGCTACCTCGTGCCGCTGCTACTATTTGCAAATCGTTCGTTTTTTTTTTTTTTTTTACATTGTTGTATTCTTTGCTTACCTATACTTTTAAACAAATATAAATTAAATGTAATTCCTTTTTAGATTTGTAACCAAATCAATCAGTCAAATGATCTGGAAAGCAGAGTGTAATCAGTTTACATCTCGTGAAATACCGAATAAATTAAAAGTATTGATAGTTCTCTTTTTTTATCACAGAATTTTTAGTATGTTTTTGTTAATTTTTTATATGCTCGCTGTTGCTTCTATTTACACTTTACAAAGATTAGATGAGATTGAAATTTGAAAATGTTGCCTCCACGAAAAGTTGTACAGAGAACAGACGACGACTTTTGAGACGTAATTTAATTCTACTGCTGTCATTTCTTAGCAGTTAATTACAATGCTAGTAGGACTCATCTAGCCTTTGCAGGTTCGATTGTTGCGAGCAGCTCGACAAATTGTGGCAGAATACGATTTGGAAGATTCGACTATGACTCTAACGATAGAATATCCCGTAGATTATCCACTCAGCATCCCCTTGATTGAGGATGAAAGAGCCATCGTAAGTCGGGAAACAAGAAGGAAATGGCTTTTGCAGCTTACAATGTTCCTTACTCATCAGGTATTATATTTTCATAATTTATACAATATTGATTTATATTACACCATGATCCATTCAATAAAGAGATCATTTCATCTTTCGAATTTTAGTGTGTTGGGCTTGAAAACATTTTAACGAACTGATAGTTGTTGCGCTATTGCAGAATGTTGTTAAAGCTTTAATTGATCTGCTTATTTGTTTTTAGATACTTTGTATCTCTTAGAGATGAGCGAGGATCGCAAATAAAATTATCTATTAGAATTGCTATACAGAATTGCATATATCTTCATGTTCTGATAGCTCATAATGCGTCAATTGTTGTTGTTGCAGAATGGTTCCATTGTGGATGCAGTATTAATGTGGGCAGGTAATATCGAGAAGCATATGGAGGGTGCAGAAGATTGCACCATTTGCATGATGACTGTTCATTCAAGGACTTATCAGTTACCACGGGTACGATGCAAACAATGTAAAAAACGATTTCATTCTGATTGTCTTGTAAGTTAATATAATTTTCATCTTTTTCTAGTGTTCAAGAAGTAGTACGGTTGTGCATTTGTTGAAAATCATTCTTTGTGACATAATGTAAGTGTGTTAAACCTATTAAAACTAAATGAAAGAATATGTATTCATATTAAAAAAGGTGTTCCATCACTTGATAGTGTAGTTTGTAGAAACTTATATTTTACTGCCATTTAACTTATGATGCTTATTAATTCGATTTCAATTTATTATTTGCAGTACAAATGGTTCGATTCAAGCAATCAGTCAACATGTCCCTTATGCAGAGCTTCATTTCATTAGCAATGTAAATCGAAAAGACAATGTAATTTAATTGATTCGTGAATGCTTATATTTGCGAGAATTTTTTGCTCACTTTCTCTTCATCCCTTTCGATTATATCTGTTTTTTAAATTGGGAAAAAAAATCAAAATATTTGAAATCGAATATAAAGCTTGAAACGAAGATGTCTTCTTATTATCCTATATCTGTTCGTTCTTTCAGTGTAACTCTTGATCGTAGCTTGGTACCAAATGAAATCGAATACAAAGATAATATAAATCTTTGTTTAAACCTAAAAAAATTTTATACAGAAATAAAAAATTTTATGCATAAAGAAAAAAATTTATACAGAAATAAAGAAATTAGCAAAATGTTTACTCAGGAAATTAATCACCAGTCATTTTCGTGAGATTCTAGTACATGTGCTCAAAAATGTTATCATTTTTGTGTTCTGTACATTTCAGGTGATTAATTGTTCAGGTCGACTCATCCATGTATTTTTGCTTGTACAGTGTATAAAACGGATTTATGTAAATGGAAAAAGAAAAAAATTATCCGTCTATCGTATTAATGCATTTGTTAAAAGTTCTTTGTTTACGACATTATATGTTTGCGATTGGGAGAAGCATGATGGTTGTTCTGCCCCGAGTTTCAATATTCCTGGTTAACTGAAGTAGGAGAGAGGAAAAGCAGAGGTTCGAAAGATTAAAGTGACTGTTACAAGTGTAGGTGGGAAAATAGACTAAAACTGTTTCAATTTGCTGGAATGCTTGATAGCAGGCTAATAAGAATATTAAGCCGAAGTTTGACATATTCGTTTGTTCATGTAGTGCTGATACTCACTTTAAAGCATTTCAATAGAGATTTATGACAAAACCCTCATATAGGTTCAATGGGGATAGTGGAATTGACACGTCGGGAAACATTCTCGGCCAGTCATCGTTTACAAAACTCGTTGTTGAGTGATATTGAGAATCAACAATTATATGGTAAATGTAATAATTTGAATGGTCATGGACATAACTACGTTTGGGAGGTAACCCTTCGAGGACAGATTGATCCGAAATCAGGAATGGTGAATAATATCTGTGATTAATCATTATAAGTTATTTTTGTCATTGATTATGTAACGCAGAGGACGGTAAGGATTAATCAGAATTATTTGTCGGTGCAATCAAATCATTCGTTTACTTCACTGTAATAGGTCTTATAAAAGGTGAAAGTAATTGATTTTTTCATTCCTTCGATTTATCTTTTTATTTATTGATTTATTTTTTTGAAGAATCAATGGTCATTGTTTATCCCAAATGAAATCTGTTTTGCTTGGCTTATTTTAACATTTCTCTCAAATTGAAGGAACACCATCAATTATCATTATTTTCAAAAAAAAAAAAAAAGCACTTTTAAACTAGTATTACTTATTAATCCCGGAACTTGCAGGTGTACAATTTGACTAATCTGAAGAATGAAATGAAGAGCGTACTTGATGAGGTGGATCATAAAAATTTGGATAAAGATGTCGTCTATTTTGAAAGTAACGTAAGTACCACTGAGAATTTAATCGTTTACTTATGGAATGAGCTGAAATCTAGAATAACAAATCCTGAATTGCTTTATAAAATGATTTTGCATGAAACTGAAAAGAACTCGGTTGCTTATCATGGATAATTCATTTCATCTTGCAGTATTTTTTAATATTTACTGTCAGCTTTTTCTATCATAGATCTTTTAAATTTAGATAAGTTTGTAAAATAATACAGATAATATTTGATATTATTTATTTATTATGACATGAATTGTATGCATTGAAATGATGCATTCCATCTGTTAAAGCTCTGATATTTCTCGAATGGCATTGTTGTTTGTATTTATATGTGGGAATTAATGCATTTTAGATATCATTGATCCTTGTGATATATTCTTTATTCTTAAATTTTTACTTCAGATTAGTGCATTTTCGTCATTCTTTATCAAAAAACAATATATTTTTGCTGAATATTTCACCATAATCATTAAAATAATTTGTAATATAGATTGGTGCAAGTTGAGTTGCTAAAATTTATCGCACAAAAGATTATAAGCAGTTTCTTTCAAATTACATTCTTTTCAAGAATTTTAATTTATTTTTGGTAATTATTGACCAAATTTGCTAAATGACAATTGATACCACTTTTATTCCCAAATATAACTTGAAGACCAATATGCAAAAGTAAAAGATCCTTTTGGTTTAAATATTACGATTTCCTCTTGAAATTGGTAACGGTGGCAAACGTTTACTTCTGCAAGAAAGAATATCTGCTAAGTTTCGTTCATGGTCTCTTTGTCCCCTCTCTCTTGGTCGTTTGGAATATCAATTTCTTGTATTGTTTGCAACAAAAAAAAGCAAAAAATGATGAAAGATTATTATTTCTACCGAAATATTTCAAATTTCTATCCATGAATATTATTTGATATATTCATTGAATGTAGTGAATAAAGCAAAAACCTTAAAAAATATTATTATTTCTTGGATATTGGTAATTTCGCCGGAAAAAAAATGAAGGGAAAACGAACTCTCTGCTCAGTTCCTGAGGGAAGTACTAAAAACCGGAAATGTCTTATATGATAGAGAGCATTGCAGTGGTAATTGATATTTTGTAGAATTAAAATAAATAGACTTTTGTCCAGTAAAACGCTTATACCATCGTAAATATCGCGGTTTCCTTCCCAGAAGCGCTAATGATATTTCAAAACTTCGAACTATCAGAATTTGACGGCTATCTCCTTATCTATCAGCTTACTTCTATCTCTTTTGAGACGAAGAAAAACAAAAGACGTGTTGAATAATTATCCTTGCCTCTATTATGGTAATAAAGATATTTATAAATTTAATGAATGATAAAATGGAATTCTTCAGTTAAAAGAAGCAATAAATCATAAGTCAATTATATAATTTTATCGCAATTCTGACAAATTTCTCGTCTTTTTTTTTTCGATGAATAAACATGCAAAAAGGTAAAATTGCAAATTTTTGTTTTGTTTATCAGCTATTTGTTCATAATTAGTAAATAATCAATATAAGTTAGAGTTTAGATTTAATTCATGAAAATAGGGGAATTTGCGAAATAACGTGCCGATGTGATTTGAGAAACAAAATTAATCATTATAGTTCTTGTCATAGTTTAAGAATGGTACCTAAGTTGAAAATGAGTCACACATAAATAAATTGTAAATTATTTAGTCATCCTATGATTAAGCAAACGATCATTGTTCTTTTTTTAGAGGTTGGCCTATAAACACAAACTGAGCTGTAATATTACAAGTTCAAATGTCTAAAAAGTGCACTTAATCGTCTTATCAAGCAGATAAGAGCTGATTAGAAAAGTGAATCTAACTTTTCAATCATTCACTTGCATCTATGTAATCATTTCATCTAAACATTTTGTCTTTTTTAATGTTGACTGTTCTTCGGTGACTGTATTAGTTAAAGGATGATAATATGAATTGATTAGTTCTCAAATCTAGCAATAACTTTAAAACCATTTTTAAAAATTTCAAGATCTTATAATTTCATATGAAACTATTAAATTATTAGTATCAAACTATCTATCACCTTATCATCTATCTTTTACGATAACCCTATATCTTGCACAAATGATCCAAGGTGATAGTTACCGGTTATGCTGGAAATGTTGTATTATTCTAGTCGAATGTTATTACAATTCAACGAGATTCGCTAGTTACCGTAATTTTCACGATTTTATTCATTTGTAATGTCGCTATTGTCTTACTTAGTGAATGAAAACTGCAGTGGTTTTAATAGTTTTATATCATATAACGTTCATAGTTGACGCGGCTGTAAGTCGTGTCACTGTGAAGAGAACTCATTCTATACGGCAACAACTTTTACGGTACTTACAGTTTTTTTTCTTTTTAAATTGGTCGTTAATTTCGAATATTTAAGTACAAGTCGAAAGAAATAATCTTTATTAATTTTCACACCCTTTTTTATACTTTTTTCAATTCATTTATGTTTGATAAGTAATAATAAGGAGGAAAACAAACAAAAAAGAAAAATACAATTCCCAGACATTTGATGAAATTCAATACCGAATATTTATAGAGCCGGAAAATTAAAAGAATACAACCGGTTAGTCCAACCAGTACTGAGAGAAACCGGAATGACTGGATTTCTAGAATATATGGATAATATCTATCTAATCAATATCACTATCGGATCACCGCGTACATCCATTTTCTTTTTCATCCTTCCACAACCTATAAAAGTCAATAAATTTATAAATCACTGAAGAAATTATCCTCGAATGTCGAATTCTATATGGTTTGATAGATTATCGTATCACTTTTAAATTTTGTTAAATCTTTTTTAAGTGAAACCATTTTCTAGCACTAATGATTATATTAATTCATTTTTTTGTCTTTAAAATGATCAATCAGAAAGACAGCCATCGTTCTCATGAACTTTCCTATTTTCAGCACAAAATTTGAAAGTTGTCCCCGATACAGGAAGTTCAGATTTATGGGTCATTTCTATTGACTGTAAAAGTAATTCATGCATAGAGGGAGGAAATATGCACACAAAAAACCGATTTGATCCAAGGTTTTTACTCTTGTTTAAGTTCTTAAAAGTGATAAGTTATCAGTTAAAGTTATAAAATACTGATTGAATTCAATTCATGCACTATCAAAATTAAGTTGAACAGTGCTAAAAAATATTCCAAAATGCAAATTAGTGATGTATTATCGTTGATTTTTTAATTTATTAGCTTTTATTAAGATATATTTCTTGCAGTAAATCTTCAACATATTCATCTTATGGCCAAAACTTTTCAATAACTTATGCATTAGGCTATTCCAAAGGTATACTTGGGATTGATCAACTTTCAGTGAGTTTTTAATTCATCAATATTTTCACTTTTTAAACAGATTTAGTGGAAAATGGATGCTTTTGCAGTATTAGTAAGATATCGAAATAGCTTACTCAATTACATTTCAGATATTTCCATTGCTATTATAATAAACGAAGTATTAAGCCTATTGATTTGTTATCTTTCTTTAAATGGCAATAATACAGCTACGACTAACTCCTTATGTAATAATTAAAATTAGCTTACTTTAATTTTTCCTTATTTTTTTTATTTCCTTTAACCTAAAAGTAGAGTATTTGTAGTTTGCTGATTTAACAGTTGCTAATCAAATATTCGGTCTAGCAAATCATATTGCCATTAGCTTCGGTAATTTCTCGATGGATGGTATAATGGGTCTCGCTTGGCCAGCCCTTTCATCATTCCAGGTTACACCGCCGATGCAAAATATAATTAGCGAACTGGATTTTCCAATAATGACAGTTTACCTATCTCCGTAGGTCTTATAATTGATCGTCACTTAACGGATATATTTTAACAATTTTAATTGTAAGAGATATTAAATTACAAACTATTTATTCTCAAGAAGTAAACATGAATTGATCAACTTTAAACTATTTTTTAATATGTAATGCATTACAAGAGATACAGAAAAGTTCTGTGGTTCGAAAGGTGGAAATAAGATTGCTTACCGAACAATTTTTGATTTCCTGCCAAGAATATGCTTGAGTATAAGACTTTGTTTACTAGAACATTTCTAAAAACACAATTTATAGATATTTGGAAACATCAATGGATGAAACTGATGGAGGTGTAATCACTTTTGGTAATTTTGACTTTGATAATTGCGAAACAGTAGAGCGATGGGTACAGATAACCTCTCAGACGTTCTGGCAATTCACCATAAAAGGGTAAACAAACTCTTATAATTTTAACGAACATTTTCTTTTCAAAATTGGTTTCCAGCTTAATAAATTCTTTACCAGTTTGCAGATTTTCTATAAGTTTTCATTCTCATTTCTCTCAGTCATTATTTTAGAATTCATTTTTCTAACACCGAAAATGTATTCAAAGTTTGATTTCAATTTGTATAACTGTTGTATTAATTTTAAGTGAACGATATTAAAGTTATATATCAATATTACTCATTCACTGTTTTACCACTTTAAATTGCATATCATTTTCTAACTAATATTTATTCTGTTCACAGTGTAAAAGTTAATTTACACGAGACTACTAGTTGGCAACAAGCAATCTCTGATACTGGAACATCATACCTACAAATACCATCGTTCCTCATGAAATTAATGGTCCAAAACATCAATGCTACATATTCATTCGATTATGAAGCTTATATAGTTAATTGCGTTATGCAAGACATTGGTCCCAATATTGAAATTAATATCGATGGTATATATTATTCAATATTACCTGATCAATACATTCAAAAGGTATTGACAACTGTCATTTTATTCGATCAATCTAAACAATGAAACATTTGCCACAAGAAGAGATTTTCAAAATACTAATAATCATACCTGTATAAAGGTGACATTTTCTATGTGTTCTTATGCTTCTGGAGAAAATTGTATGAGTCATTCGTCATTTGAGCAATGATACGTCTTCTAGAAGTGTGCAATCAAATCATCCAGTTTATTTTACAGTATCTTAATGAACATGGTCAACCAGTATGCATCTTTGCTGCATTAGAGAATTACGGTGTCGGATTCAACCCATCCTGGATTCTTGGTGATGTCTTCATCCGTTCTTATTGCAATGTTTACGATTTCGCAAATGATCGCATCGGTTTCGCTGAAATTTTGTAGTGTCGCAATAATGGGAATCTACTTCAGACACTTTCAGAATTCATTCATATTGTTTCAGTTATTGTTCTCAATGACATTCAAATCAATACATATTTTTACAAAATGAAATATGATCAAAAATAAAAGTCTCACTTTCTTGATTTACATTTGCTAGTTCTTTTTCTCCAATTATTAAAAATTATTAGCAACATACCTAATTTGTTCTCTCTCTCTCCCTCTCTCTCTCAGGATATCTAATAAATTGTATTCCTTTCCTACATTTATAATGGGATTTCTGAGATTACTTGTTTAGATTACACATTCACATTTATGGCATTTCACTACAGCAAACTGCCATAAAATCGTATTAAATAAATGTAAAAATTAATTGCAAAAAAAAACATATTGTATATTTTGAAAAATATTTTTGTTTCATTGTGTCCTTCAAAGTTTTATTACTTACTGTTTGTATTTTTACGTATAATTCTACGTATAAATGCATTCAATAGTTGGAAGAATGAAATAATAATGGAATAAAATTATTTGTCATCGACTGATTGACTTTTCGGAAAGATTTCTCTCATGAATTGCTAAACTTCATGAAATTTTATCTAATTAGTTGTTTTAGTTTCATTCTAATTCATTTCATATTACAGCTAAATTTCCACATCCTTATTCCACTGATTTTCACCCAATTGGTTAAGCTGTTAAAAGTAAATGTGATAAGCAACTGCTTGATATGATAGATTTCATTGTTACTTCTGTTTGATACTGTAATCATTGTGTGATGTTTCGAAATGATGAATACTCTGAGTGGAATAATATATATTATCTATTGTCTTCTTTTATTCCTGTCTTTACCTGTCACTAAGTGAACAGTGCATGGCTCAAGTCTCAAAGACCTGTCAGTATCTGGCCTCAAAGTATCTGGCCAACTAATCTATGTTCACTTCATTCAATCTTCAAAATAAAAACCCTTTTTGTGTTATCATTAAAGTTCTACTTTATCTCTACTGTCAGCTACAAAAGAATATCGTACTACTGTTCACTGTCGTAATGACATCAAATTTATCTAATTACACGACTAAACTTGTTGGACAGTTTTATTTTCATGTCGTTACTGGTTTATCTCGAAATTTCATCTGGTCTTAATGATATTGTGTTTCAGCTTATCACTTTTTTCAAGCATTCCTCTTTTTCTAGCCTTGCTTCTTTTCTGATTTATTCCTGACCTTTCCTCTCCTTACTTTTAAAAAGAGTCAATATTTACTACACAATACAGTTGTAGAAAATACTGCCTAAAACATTTTTCAAATCTAAAGTATTGTAAGAAAGTATTCTCTAGCAGCCATCTCAAAGAATTTGCAAAAATACTGGAAGGAATTTTTGAAGAAAAAGTTAATAGGTATTCATTTTGAACTCTGTGAATGAGATGAATTGTTATCAGTTATATGGGATGCATAAATAACTGCGAGAAACGTGCTTGTTATTCTAGAGATATGCCGAAGTATTACTGTGATTACTGTGACACATTCCTGACGCATGACTCACCATCTGTTCGGAAAACTCATAACGGTGGCCGAAAACATAAGGTTTGTTCAAGTTGTTATACGCAAAAGTGGAATGATTTGGTACAGACATTATGAATGTGTTTTAAGAATCCTTTATAAGAAAAGCTGGTAGTTATTGCATAAGATGAAATCTTCCACATTTCCATGATCAGAATTCCAAGGTAGTTTATGTGTTGCACTGTACGAACGTTTAAAACCAAAATAAATTTTATCATTTTTTACTCTGTGGTGCTTACCTTTACCTTGATTGTTCAAAGCAGAATTCTTTCATGAATGTCAGACGAATTAATACATTTATTATGCGTTTATGCTGTTACTTATTTTATGAAATGAAACCTAATTAAAAAGTTACGGAGTCCAGCAGATGTTCTTGTCTCTAGGGATTAAAAAGTCGTAGTCGGAGATGATCAAGCAGAAATTTTTCTTTTATTTTTTTATAGCTAAGCAGAATATCCATTTCAGGAAAATGTACGAATGTTCTATCAAAAATGGATGGAGGAGCAGGCGCAGAAATTAGTGGATGCCACTGCGCGAGCATTTACCCAAGGACGCATGGGTAGTAGTCAAGGAACTGCTCCCCGAATGCCTATGGTACTTTTTCTTTGAATTTTGCGTGAGGATAATTTCAAGACCTTACTTTTGTTTTTCGTAAAAAACTCTTTTTCCTTATATGTATAAATGATGCTGCACAATCTTTTGATTGACTGGTTTTTTTAAATCTTGTACTGTTTATAGAACAGACTTAAGCTTTAATATTGAAGTTTTACATTTTTTCACGGCAAAAAATTTGAAGCAAATATTCTTTGGAAACCAATTATTTTAGTGGATAGATCTTTATTTATTTTGGTGTACTTCAGAACTTAGATTAGTTAAGTAGGTTTCTTCTTTTCTTGACTTGCATAAAAAATACATAAAACATTACTACATCTTTTACTTCTCTTATATGAGGTGTCTTGTTTTCAAAAAATTCCGGACGAAGTATTTAGTCTTGGATTCGTATACTTTAGTGTTCATTCTCGCATGAAAAATAATTCATATATCTAGAAAATTTTCAGTTCTTGCTTTAATTTATATTTGAAATATCCTCATTGAATTTTTAGGCAGTAAGTGGACCAAGACCACCCATTATGACACCAGTTGGTGGTCCACCGGTTCGAGGTCCAATGCCATTTCCTTATCCACCAATGGGTGCTCCAATGGGACCGCCAATGATGATGAGGCCACCGTTCATGATGCCGACTGGACCACGCCGAGAGATACGATAGTAGTTTTACTACTGTTTAGTTATTTTGGGGAAATGATAGTCCCTGTGCTATGTTTCAAATGTTGCAGCCAGATTTGGCAAAACATCAGCTCTACAAAGATCATTTGAGGAATAATTGTTTGGATACCATCTTCCACAGTTCTAGGTTTAATTGAATGAAGTAAAAAATTATGCTTCATTTTCCAAATTGTTCCGTTGTTTCATTGTTTTCAATTCCTTTTTTGCTTTTATGTTAATAATTCTGTTCACGAACTGATAAATTACGATGTATCAAGTTGAAAGCTTATATATTGCGCAGTTTTTAAAGAAAAACTGTATTCATCCTTGAAAATAGGTGTATGGGAGACTACATGACATTGGGAGAATAGTTAAAATCTATTTAACAAGGGAAAAAAAAAAAAGCGTAAAAGGTGGAAATAGTATTAAACGATATAAATGAAGAGAGTACGTAGCACTGGTAAAAACATATTTGAATATAGATAGGGGAAATGATGGTGATTTCAATGTTACCGTAAAGCCTAATTGTGAGTATTCATTTTTTTTCTTCTTTCGGGTAAATCCGTTTAATTTGATGTCCATGAGATGATGGTTTATATAAGTTTTATTTCTGTTGTTTTGTTTCCTAAACTTTCATCCTCGCATTAGCACCATTATCATTTATTGGATTTGTGACAAGCAGTATTGCAGAATCAAGTGCATTCATTTAAACTTATATATTACTGGAAATAAAACTTCTTTATTTGCTCATGCCGACCAATTCGAATGCGGAGAAATTGCGAAAACAAATTCGCAAAGCATTTCAAATGCGCGCACTCACATTAAGCAAGTAAACGTTTCTGTTGTAGAGCTCGTACTGCCTATTCTCATTGATTTTAATTCTCGTAGATTTTTGTAGTGCTTAAAATCTGAAGAGATTCAAATAATAATTTGTTGGTGACTGTTCGCAGGGAGGCTATGGAATATGCTGTCCAGATTCTGGTAGATTTACAAAGCGAAGAGCGAGTCAGGTGGATAAACAAAGTTATTAGTGTGTTGTCGAAACAGAAGGGTATGTTTCTATAGATATACACTCTCAAAGAAGGTTCACATTACATTGACCTATCATTCTTAACTTCAAATTCACTTCTGAAACAACGTTACTTCTCGAGATTGGATATACCTAAATATAATCATGAGATGTCGATTTAAAAAGTAGATTATAGAGATTCTCCACAATTACGTATTTCAGCAAGCGGACCAGTACTTTCGTTCAATGAATTCAAGTCGGCTGTTAATGAATGTGCTAGCAGTCGTTCCTCAAAACAGTTAGCTTTTTTTTTTTTTTATTTTTCTGGTTTTAATTAATCATTCCTTCTTTAGGTTATGCAGGATTATAAAGGTAAATTCAAGCTGATATTAGAATCAACTCATTAGTGATATCGGTTATTCATTAACGGTAAAATGAGTACAATTTAAGCACAAAATATAATACTCTATACTGGTTTCAGTACTTGAACAAGATAGAGTGTTAACTGTGTGTCTATGAAGATGAAGTTTTTTATGTTCATGAAAACTTACATGTTAAAAAACTTACATGTGTGTGTTCTGTTTGGGCAATTAACTAAGGAGGGCCAGTACGAAAGGTATAATTCTTTTTAGTCAATAGAAATTTATGTTGAATTTCATTTTTCTTAATTGCTGTGGGAATGATTGTAAATAGTTGTTTTTTTTTTTTTAAATAGTCACATAACCTAACCTTGATCTAGATTAACTTTTTTTATGAATTAGTTGAATAAAACTAAATTCTACTGCAGAGAATCATTAATTCGTGTAATTGATTTGTTCACTGTTCCACGTTTACGGTATGATGAACAACGTAAGATGTTAGTTGCAGTAGATGGTCTATCATCTGCTATAGGACAAAGTAATGATGCGAAGATTTTATACAGAGAACGTTTGAAACTTGTCATGCAAGTTAGTTAACTTTTTAATTTGTTCGAACAATATTGCTGTTGTTATACATCTATTATTATTATTATCATTATTGTTATTATTACTATTATTATTATCATTATTTGTTATTAAATTAGTTATTAATTATATTAATTTTATAAATTTTAGGAAATTTTTATGTTTTTGCTGATTTTTACAGGTTTTTGTTTTTATAAATTTTTCACTTTTTTTTGCAAGCTTTTGGTAGTGTTTATTAATTTTTTCGATGGTTAAATCAGCTGTAATCCATTTTCAGCGTGCATTACGAAACTCTGCGTTTGAGCATTATCAATTATGCACGGTGGAAGCTCTACTAGGCACTCCAGAAAGATCAGATAATTCGGTGTTAATAGGAATGTTAACTCAGAGGGATCCTGGAGTTTATGAAATCGAGGATCTTACAGGTAAAAGCAAATAGTTATTTATCTTTTTTTTATTAAAATTACCTAAGTTCCAAAGCATTAAATAAACAAGTACGATTGATTAGTGTTAATTTGGTTTCTGATACAACTGCGTAAAAGATTATGTCGGGGTTTGCAGGCGCTATAGAAGTTGATCTTAAGGAAGCGACCTTCCACAAAGGTCTTTTCACCGATGGCTGTATAATGATGTTGGAAGGTCGATCTGTTGGCGGCTTATTTCGTGTTAGTGCTGTTGGTCTTGCACCAGTTGAAAGTGCTACAGTTACAAGAAATTACTTTGGAGTAACGAACTGGTTTGGTGGTGAAGGTACAGTTGCCTGTGGCTCACAGATTCGACTTCGAACACTATGCGAACGAAATGATAGAACAAGGTTCATCCTTATGTCAGATGTATGGCTGGATGATTCAAGGGTTAAGTCGTTCTCTCTTTTCAAAGACGCTGGTTCAAACATCGTTAAGCACTTTTTTAATAAATTTAAAAAAAAATTTCCCTGTTCTGTGAAGGTTTAAGTGATGCTTTTTGCCGATATTTTAAAAAATCTTTTTTAGATATTGAGTGCAATCAATGAGCTTATATTTGCTTTCACAGATTCCCAGTTGCTTGCATTCATTATATGTGGTAATTTCTGTTCTCAGATGGGTACAGCTGACTCATATCATCGCACTTATGGTTTGTTTTCCACATTATGTCATTAAGCGTTTCGTGGAACGTAGCTTACTCTACCATATTTTATCGTAGTTGCCCATGTTTTTGCATTTTGTGTGGATAATGACCGCACTCTTTCATTATTTTCCCAAAGTTGCACAGGCAAGATTTACTGTTTAGATAATCCACTTTCTTATCTAAACGTGAGGATATATAATTTCTCAACACTAGTGTTTTTGAATGAATCTAATTTCATATGGATTTCGTCGCTTGGCATCTATTTTGCAAAAAGATATATTTGCTGATCGTAATGTTCATTTTATATTCGTCCCTGGTCCAGATGATCCTTCACTGAATTCGATATTGCCACGGTAAGCACTTATAGAGTTTCTGAGCCTACATAATCGATATATATTGAATCGATTACCATTTGGTTCATTACTTCTCAATTTTATAGTGAAAAACTTTTTGAAAAAAAAAATACTGGGCTTTTTTTTAAATGTATGCCTCTCAGACATTTTATCTGACTTCAGCAAATACTTTTTTTTAAAGACATGAAGCCATACTGTTGTAAATTGTTATGCTCATGTTACATTCAATTTACGTTCGTTTTAAAATATCTCATTTCTGTTTTGTATTGGATCAACGTGGTTTTGCATGCTTTGTTGAATTTTAGTCAAACACACATGCTGCTTATCAGTTTGAAAGAATCGCTTTGGGTTTGTGGTTCCTGCATTTGAATTCCAAATTACTAATTTCCAAAAAAAAAAAAAAATTACATGCTTTGGTATAGTTTAACATATATAGATATTTTATCTATAGTTTTAAGTTTCCATTTACAGGCCACCATTACCATTTCAACTTTTCGAACTAATGAGAGATGTACCGAATTGTTCGTTTGCATCAAATCCATGTCGTATACAATATACCAATCAAGAAATTGTCATCATGCGTCATGATTTGGTTGAAAAAATGTGCAGAAATAGTATTCATATGCCGTCAACTACTGCCGACATTCCAGAACATGTAAATTTTTTTTTTCAATATTCCTATTTTAGAACAAATTTTACTGATGTTTATTTACTGTTTTACTGATGTTTAGAGTTTTACTGATGTTTATTTACTTTTCTTTCAGCTTTAAAAAGTTTCACAATCTATTTTGATGCTATAGGTTCTTTTTGGTTATCTTATATTGTTCTGTATTAGATAAAATTCAATATGGTATAGTTGCAGCACTCTGTTTGTCCCAGCGAAGTTCATATATCTTAGGCTGATATTTAAAATAAGATTTTTGACAAAATGGTGTGAAAGTTGTAAATTCACCTATACTGTTTAAAAAATGATTATATTGCAGTTCTGTCATACAATCGCTTCCGTTGGACACTTGTCGCCACTACCACTACACATATCACCTGTTATTTGGCAAATGGATAGCTACCTTACACTGTATCCTTTACCAGATCTCGTTGTCATCGCTGATAAATTCGAACATTTTCATTACCAATTGGAAAATACTTTGTTTGTTAATCCAGGGTCCTTCGCTCGTACTGACCTCAATTTTTATGTATATTACCCAGCACTGCGTACGGTTGAGGTATGTTCTGCTGATCAGAATGCTACTGGAGCTCCTGAATAATTCTGTTTTGTTTGTTAAAGAATAGAATTTCGAATTGTTACTAGTCACTTAGCCGAAATTAAGCAATGTCAAAGATGAGCCCTACAAATAATGCCTTAGGATGGTATTCCAAGAGCAATAAATTGAAAAGCTTTCTGTTCGATTTATTGCTGCATGGAATACCTTTTAAAGTAAGAGGTCCATGCAAAGTAATAGGTAAAAAATTAATTTAGGTTTATTCTTCTGGTCGTTAGTCTGTTCGCTTGATTTTTAAGTTATAATGGAAACTTGGTTACCTTTGTATGTTTTATAATAGAATGATTTGCACGCTGAATAAATTTGTTCTAAAAAGCATGAAATACATTAATCAATTGCATTTAGGTTATAGACAGAAGTAAATAATTTCAAAAATGAAGCAAATGAATGAAAAAAGCCAGTCTTACATCAAATTGACTATTGTAAGTGCTACAGCGGTAATTGTTTCGTGACGAAAAAATACGGTGAAATCAAAAGCCGTACCTGAAAGAGATGCATAACGATAGACAGGTGTAGTAGTAAGAGGTTATTGAATATAAACCATTGGAATGTATTAGCGAAGTCAATCTGTGAGGATACTTTCACTGCTAACCTAACACATATCCAAAGTATTTGAATGTATGTGTATATGTCATGCTTACTCTTTAAGGCCTTTTAGGAGCAATGCATGCAGAGTTAATATATATATATATACATGTACACACACACATCGATTGCTTGTTGTATTTACTAGCAATGAAGGAGCAATGCTTCTCAAGTTTAAAGCTTCACATCTGATTGAGGGGTGAACATCGTTCCGTTAGCTAATTCATTTTTTTTGTCTCCAGCGGTGGTGTCGCACATGACTAGAAATGATGACATCATAAATAGCTATCCGAATGACCACTGTAATGAATTTCACATAAAAATATGTCGTTAGTTCAATAGAGATTCTTCCATGTGTTTACAGCATGCATTTAATGTCATCACAAAGGTGTTATCCCAGCCATTTTTGCATATTTTTGCTCTAAAGAATTTCGCGTTCTATTCTAATTTGACATAATGGCAATTCTCTTAATCAGTATTATCACAGTTTTACTTTTTACTCTTCCGACAATTTATTATTAAATTTATCAGTTAATAAATTCATTGCCAACATTCATTTACAATGACTTTTCAGCTCAAGCTATCATTATTATCAGTTATTGAGAAATTTTAATAATTTGTTCATAAAAAATTTTGTTTTCATGAAGAGATATAAATTTAAAGAATTCATGTTGATATTTTGGTAGCTAATCACCACTATTTGAACAGCAGACATGATTTCTTTTTCTTTCGTTCCTAATAGAGTTTTCATTTATTTTCACAAAGCTTGAATTGTGAAAACTCTAATTTGAAATCTCATTATTTAGCCTTAATTTTTATTTCTTCCAATTTAATAACAGAATTCTTAATCATGTAAATACTGTCTAAAGTAAATTTAAAACTTTTTTTCGCATTATACAGAATTGGCCAGTTAAAACTAATTTATTTCGAAAATGTTCAAAAAACGGAAGGAATCGGTAGTTTTATGTACAGGGAAGGCGGTGAGTTATTAAGCTTTCATTCGGGAAGATGCATGCTGCGGGAAATGATTGCTAATGACGATTGCGCTTTCTTGCCATTAAGGCACAAGAAGAGAAAGATGAATAAGTCATATTTCCGGTCCTTTTTCGGTCGTTTCTCTATCATTTCCGATCTCTTTTCGTATCAATGCAGTCAATTTCCTAAATTTCTTGTTTATAGAAAGCCTCAGTTATTCGTAGAATTTAAAACCGATAATTCGGGGATTCATTTCCATTCAGTTCAATATTCCTAATTTTGCTTCATCTTTCTCTTTCTAAATAATTGATATGCTTCTAGCAAATATGATAAAATCAAATGTATTGCAGATGGAGGAAGATCGATTGGGAATGTCGATAACAGGTGATGTTACTGAGATTATCAAGGATACAAATGGTGTTATCGGTATATCAATCGGTGGAGGTGCACCATATTGTCCTTGTATCTATGTGGTACAGGTTTTTGAAAATTCACCGATGGCTTTGAATGGACAAATTCAAGCCGGTGACGAAATTATTAGGTGTAAATTTCATTTGAAATGATGTGATCAATTAATATGGTCAAAGTAATAGTGTCAGACATCTATCACAATAAATGTTTGAAATTTCATATCTTTTATTGAATTTGTATTGAAGTGTCAACATTGAGCTTAATTAGATCAATCAAAGTTAATTTTATCTTAACATTATATTATATTATACTTATTATACCAAAATTTAATTTAAATCGTATTCTTTTGCTTTTAGTGTAAATGGTATTTCGGTAAAAGGAGAAGATAAAACGGCGATTGCAAAGATGATTCAGGAAGCGGAAGGATCTGTTAAACTTGGATTCAATGTTCTTCATGCTGAAATAATAGATGTATCATATCATTAATACTATATTTTGTGAAGCAATAATTTCTAATCAGTTATTATATAATATTAAAACTTATAAGCACAATTTTATTTCCAGGGACATACACTAGACATAGCGTTGAAGAAGATGAAACATCGTGTGGTAGAATCAATAACTACCGAAACTGCTGATGCATTGGGATTATCTCGAGCAATTTTATGCAATGATCTTTTACTTCAGAAATTAAATCGTTTGGAACAATGCTCACAATTATACAAGAAACTTATCAAACATCTCAGTGCTCTACTTAATTCTCATTATCATATTGCCAAAACTCAAAAAGGTTTCTGTGTTTTTTTTTTTTTTTCTAATTAAACTGTAAAAATTATTCATAACAATTGAACAGTTTTTTTAAAAAAAAGAAAGAAATCAAGTGATAATTGAGCCTCTTTTTTTTTGGCTTATCATCAAGTTTCATTTTAGTTCATTTAAATACTATTTTAAGCAAATGATCTTAGTAACAAATGGAAACTTCTGAAGTTAAACTTTCCAATTTTATGCCTCGCATTATGATAGCAAAAAATAGTTTAATAACTGTCAAAAAATTATCCGTAACTTTGTTGAAAAAATGAATTATTAAATGATAGAAATTTTTTAATGAAATGACGTAGGATTTAATTGATTGGATTTGTTTTTTTTTTTTTTTTTGTTATATTTGTCTGATAATGCGTCACTTTGTTATTCTTCTTTATCGTCGTTTTCACAGCTGTTCGCCTTTCTTTCGAAAAATTGGCAAATTAAAAAAAATTTTTTTTTGTCACCAGAATCGTGACAGCTATACTTTCATCATTATTTCAAAAGCTGTGAGGCTTTTTTTTTGCATACCGATTGTTCAGAGCAATTTCAATAACTGATATGTGTCTCCGATATTATGACAAAAGTCGCTGAGAAGAGTATAAAAATAGCAAAGCATAAATTCAAACAAAAAAGGCTTATTTGCATTAACAAAATATATAAGAATTACTAAAGTATTAAAATTAAAATATCTCATCAACTGTTTCAAAAAAATTGCATTCTGTAATTTGTTGCAGAATTTGGTGATTTATTCTGTCAGATAGCAGCACGAGAAAGCTCTACAACAACCAATAAAGCATTGCTAACATTTGGCAATATGCATCGAACCATTGAAAAGCATACCGTAAAGTCAATCATTCATTTTATTACTCTCCTTTTTTTTGAATCTGATATCCAACAGACTGTGCCATTTCGAATTTATCATTCTGATTTGTAAATGATCATATGAAATAGGAGAAGACAGAAGAATAAGTTTGAATTGCATTTGAATTACAAATGAATTAGCATGTAGCGCGCTTACTTACCTCAGTGCTTATTGTATACGTTATTATAAAGTTACTATAAAATGCAAAAAAAGAAAAAAGAAAAGCAAAATGGAGAATAAAAAGTTTTTTGATGCATTAAAATATAGTAGTGAACAATGCATTGAAATACGAATAAATTATTAAATATTTTAAATAGCACATTAATCGTCATTAAACGACATGATCGACAACATTATTACATGCAAACTTATGGTTTATGATTTTTGGTCATTTACTTATCGATCCTTTTTTTTGCTTATTACGGATTCTTCTTTTTATTTTTGTTATTTTATTATTCTTTTTTTATTCTTTTTTTTTTTTAATAAATCGGTAAATCATGCAACAATTTGCACATTTTTCTCTAATATTCTTCTAATATTCCGTTGAAATCATTGTATTTTTCAAATAAGCATTACAATTTCTAATGAATTATATACAATTCAAATTTCAGATTGGTAAAAAGTCTACATCCAATAGTGCGTGACCTGAAAACATTTGTTGAAAAAGCAATTCCGGATACAAAACTAACTCTAAAGAAATACCTAGATGCTAAATTTGAATATTTGGCATTTTGTTTAAAGTTGAAAGAAATGGACGATGAAGAAGTAGAAGCAGCTAGTTACGATGAGCCGTTGTATCGTGTTGAAACGGGTAATTATGAATACAGGTTGGTTTCATAAACTACCCTACCTGTCGCATTTCTGTGTCTCCCATATGATTCACCTGTGGGACTTATAAAGCTCTTCCTAGCGTCATAGTCGGGTTTTGATAAAAGTTTATACAACAGGCAATAGGCATTAAAAAAGAGTTAGATGACACCAACCCATCACTAGAAATCTTCGGTGTTTTAAGCTTGTGAAACGTTTAGATATGTCACTCTAATTTCAGGCTGATGCTGCGCTGCCGACAGAATAGTCATGAAAAATTCATGAAGTTAAGGAGGGACGTCATGGAAAAGTTGGAATTATTGGATCAGAAACATGGTTTGGCACATTTTACAACTTTAGCTTATCTCGTACAGAGTTCAGTTTAATTCATGCAAATTGGACAATGGGCAATGCTTTATACATAGTTTGATCGTTCAGAGTTGTGAATAAAAGAAAAGAACTGAAAGAAAAAATCATTTTGCAAAAATTTCTAAGAAGTCTTTTTAGACCCGTTGTGATGCTTTTGATAATTAATTCAAAGTAGTTAAATATAATTATGCTGGATACATTTGTAGTGCAAGATATAGGCATTCATTTATCAAGTTTTGTGAAAGCTATAATGGAAACACACGCGGAATGTCGAGATGCGATTTCCGGAGCAAATGGATTATTTCCGATTGATATTGACCTCGAGCAAGTGTGTTATCATAATTAAATCATTATTACGATTAGTATTAGTGACTTTAATAATTGCAGTATTACTCTTATCGCAACAACTTAATCTATCATAATAGTTTTTACCAGCAAAGCTGTGTTATTTTATTTCATTCATAGAAAATTAACATCATCTCATTAACACAATTTCCGTTTTCAATGCAAACATTTTAGTTTAATTATTAACATATCATATTGATGTAATTTTATAACAGATCATCCACCGATACAATACTAGCGGTCGACTGGAGGAAGAAGAGGAAGAGATTGATAAGATGGAAATAGTGGAGGAGCAGAAATCCGAGGATCTGCTGGATTTATCTTGATGTCCAGTTGATCTCACTCTTGTACTTCAAATGCGAACAGAATTGAAGATACAAATAATTGTTTGTTGTACATATTCGATTGATTTAAATCATAGAAAAGCTCAACTTCTCATCCACGCTATTTTGCAACAACAAAAAATAAAAAATAAGAAAAAATTATGAAAGGAAAAATGAAATCTTCATCTAATTCAGAATCTCAACAAAGGCAAAAGGCTTCATCTTAATTATTAATGAGCTTCAACAGCAATTTTGCTTTGTTGTTCTGGACATTGTTATTTGTGAAGACGTCTCGCGTGCAAAATTATTTTACGTATCATAACAGTAAAATGCATTTCAAATGCGCACATATCTGGTCATTTTATTCTGCAAAAAGTGTTCGTCCTCAACGGAATGTTTATTCTTTTACCATTCCACTGAAAATGGCGGATTTAAATTTCAGTGAAGTGGTGGAAGAATGAATGTTTGGAAAGGAAGGGAGCAAAGCAATGCGTGGCGGTCGAGAGCGAAACACAATTGATCCTAAAGATTTAGCGCTTTGAGGGCTCCTAGATTAGTGATCAGAGATCAGCAAGGAGTGAGCTAAGATCCATGGTGAAGTTCACTCGGGCACTATCAGTGACGACAAGCTAATGGCGCAATTATCTATCGTCACCTACCCTCAACACCCTTTTCTGTGTTCCCTCCTGCGAAGCCGACAAGAATGGCGCAAATGCTGTATGTGATATGTGACACAAGATAAGTCCAAGGGTTACAGGTGACTAGAGAGAGGGAGAGATACAGACTCGGCGGGTACGGCAAATGCGCACTCGCCAATAGATAGTTCCTTCTGTCGTGCAGCGCTGCTATTGACATATGCGCTCCAACCACTATCCTTCACGACGTTATTTGCCTTGTTATTCTCTGCTACGGGCGCAAATGTTTTCCATCCCTTCCTTTCTTTCTCTGATCTCCTGTCTTTTCATGTCAAGACATATCTGTGGTAGGATGGAAGAGAGGGCACCTGCCGATGACACAACTGCGCCCCTCACCCTAAACAACTCTTCCTCCCTTCGTCAGCTTCCTTCCCGTATCCGTTCTACAAGCAAGCAATACCCCGGCTTCTCCGCTATTGTTTACTCGTTATTTGTAAATTGTCATGGAATAAGGCTTGTCCTGCTTGCATGCTTGCATGCAATCTGCAACTGGAAAGTTGAGTTTAGTAAAGTTTGCTAGTTAAGGAACCGTCCACCACTGCTTCGTTCTCCTTCTTCATCTTTCAGTTTATAACTTTTAATTTATAACTTCCGCGTCGTTATTGTCATTGTTCCGGAAACGAATTAGTGAATCCTGAAAGAGGATACTTTTAAATTATGAATATTTCTATATTGTATGAGAGTGAGTAAAAATAGTAGTAGTAAATATTGTACTATCTCCTGTTCAACATCGTGACATAATCCGGTTTACATCTGAGAGGTAGGATATTTCTTCACAACTTCTACAGCTTACTATTCGTTAACTTAATCGAAATTGCTTTCTGGCCTGTCTTGGGTAACTAGTCATCTACTTAGGATACCCAACATAGGAAAGCTACCCATGAAATTTAGTTCAAAAAGTCCAGTGATTTCCGGTATGTCTCATTCGGTTATTCGAACCACAGGGAATGATGTCAACATATGTATGTCTCTTTTTTGTTTTACATTTGAGTTGTGCCGGGAAAGGACCGCGGCATATTCGGCACTTGTCATCTCCTCACATTGCCCTCTCTCTCTCTCTCTCTCCCTCTGATTCCTACTCCATTACATATCTGAATTGGGAGTATCTTTATGTTCATAATTATCTTGAATAAACGAAACAACCACATGACCTGTTGGGGTTATGATTGACCATCAAATTATTACTCCATCGATTGCTGCTGACCAATCTGTGATTCATATCAATTATCCGACCTCTGCAAATTTTTTAAATGAAAGAGATACCTCCAAAGAGCGGATGTTTTGTTACAGTAGAGAGAATAGAATAGGAAAAACAATGTAACTGTAATGCCGTAAATGTGAAAAGAGCATTAGCAGAAAATTAAAGGTTAAAGGTTAGCAGCGTCCTGAATATGTCGAAAATATTTTGTGAAGTTTGAAGACGTCTTGGTTACAAGAAAATATCTGTGACTGTTGATTCCTTTCCAATACATCATTCCATGAAGTGGAAGTTCGTTATTTTTATAACTATTACACGTAATATGGAGTACATTTCATCATCTCAGTTACTTTAACTTTAAGTAACAATAGGTTAAATTTTAATGATTTGAATGATTGAATTTGCGCTTTACTCACCGTTAAGCCATTTACGAGATAAAGTGATAGTAACAGACGGACAAGTCTATAAATCAATCGGAAAAAACACATTGAGATTTATTCAAACTTGAAAATACTTGAATCCTCGCGTCAATATCACAAGGAAATCATGCGAACGGATCAGTCGGATCGCAGTTATCCTGTAGATAGGTACAGTTTAATTTTTTTTCCTTAACCAAGTTATATCAAAAAGCAACAATACTTACGGAAGATATTGCTTAGGTTTTTTGGTTTTGGATATTAAGTGACAAATCATAACGATCAATTGGACTTCATTTTGGCAGCGTCATTTGTACAAATGAGCTACGACATGCCAATTGCATGCTTGTTAGCTTTATTAACACTTGGCTCAATCTAATAACCTTTGAGTAATTTGCATCACTGATTAAGCTTAGTGTATTATTGTTTCTTTCAAGCTACTGCTTAAATTTTCGTTGTTGTCCAAATCTTAAATGTTTTACAGATTGGGAAGTTTTCCAGTGATTGTTACTGTTTTGTGAACAATTTCAGCGACGGTGAAGACACTAAGGGATCACTCGGTGAAGGGACATCTTCGTTTTCATTGGATATAACTGCAAGGGGACGACCATTGATCATTTTCAGAGGATATGAGCATCGTCAAGTTCGAGTGGATCGAGCGCGTAATTTGAAAGCTTATCGGTAATCATTCTATAAACATAAATAACAATGCTGTTGGCTTATTATCATAACACACCTATGATATAGTAACAAAAAGTTAAAAAAAATATAGTAACAAAAAGTTAAAAAAAAAACACCTATGATATACCTATGATATTTATGTTTAATGCCTTGAATCTCGACCGAAAATAATGTTATTTTTTGTGTTTTGTTTGTTTAGATGTATCAAGAAGAAATGTAAAGGGCGTCTGCATACTGATTATAATGATACAAATGTGAGAATTGTTAGCGAACATGTCCATGAACCAAATTTCGATGCCGAATTTGTTAGTTTCTTTTTTTATAAAGTTGAGTATTTCTTTAATCATTATCCATGAAGATATTTCACGATTATTTAAATCTACAAGTATCTTCTCATTCAAATCTTATATATAATGAATAATTTTATAGCATTTATTTAGAAACGACGAAGACGTACATTGCTTCGCGAATTAGCTCAGAAGGGTAATGTTTCACCATCTCAGATAATTCAGAAAGCTCGGGATCTCGAAATGCAATATCACGATGTTTGTGAGTCTACAAAAACGAGTTATGCCGCTGAAAGACGGTATTTTACTTAAATTTTCTCTCTTTTCGTCCAATATTTTATAACAAATCAGATATGACTTCTAACTAAATAACAAAGTAAAATTATAATGTAAGAATGCAATATGGGGAAAGAGGGTTTTAATGCTATAGGTAAAATTAACCATTTAAGGTGCTACGTAAGAATTCGAGTAGCTAGTAGATCATTAGCAGTTTATTAATTTTGTATAAGCGAATGATAATGGTGCAAATTAATTTAGCTATATTCAACGTTATTGGAATCGGCAAAAGCAACAAGAATTCTCCAGTGGAAATGGATTAGTGCCAGTAAAACATGAGGTTTGTGATTTTTCCTGTCGCGTATCAGTGAAAATAGAAGAATTGCAAATAGGATTTTTTTTTTATAAGCATAATTTTATTAGAAAGCCTATTCATTCATAAAGACCAACCTTGAGGTATCATTAACTTCCAACAGATCATTTCGGAATTTCTTTTCTTATGGTGAGAAGTTAAAAGAATATCTGTTAACATCTTATTCGTTCTTGATATGTTCAACACTGGCAGCGTTTTATCATTCTGCATGTCTCATAAATTCTCTTTCGTTATGGAACATTGGAAGAATAGGATTTAGTGAATTCATGAATATGAATTGAATGAATATGAATGAATTCATGAATATAATTCATGAATATGAAAAAGTGAATTCATATTCATGAATATGAATTCATGAATATGAATTCACTAAATCATATTCATATTCATGAGAATAATAGAGTTTCATGAGTTCATTAGTATTATTATGTTGGTATGGCAACGTACCTACTTATGTTTTTCGGTCATAGTCGCTGTTTCACTGATTTGAACATTTCCAGGTAACAGATTGTAACAGTGAATCGAAAATAGAGGAAGATGGCGGAGATGTAGAGGAGGAATCTGTTGATGTGCCATCTTTGTTTCCGGGTGATTCTGCTCATATATCAGAACAGTTTAATCAGTTCTTACAAATGACTACTAATGGTATAACTAATGGCAGTAGCGCTTCAGCGATGAATGTTTATCTGAACTTATTACTGCAACAGATGCTTTCAAATGCAGTCGGAAACAATTCCAGCAACAATCTTCAGGATGCTGATGATTACTGTTCATCAAATTCTTCACATCAAGATCAGTTAGATAAAAAGCAAACTTTAGTTGATGCAGAAATTCAGACAAATAACGATGAATCCGGTATCCACGCACCTGTCCATGATGCTGCAGTACGTGACACATTAGCTTTAGAGTTGGGAACCATTCTGGCAAAGAAATTCTGGCCTCAGCATTATTTACGCGAGGATAAACTAAAACTCATGGTTGATGTTATCGGTAAACTGCTCCACTGCTGTTAATTTCACTTAAGGTTGTTAGGTAACGCTATGTTTTAGTATAGTTGTTCAGCAGTAGACGAATGTCACTTCGAGTTTTCTGCAACTCTCAAAAAAATAAATAAAGCCGAAGAAAAAATTCTCATAATTATGATCTCATGTGGTAAAAAGTTGTTTGCAATTTTTCTGAAGCGTATAAACCATTAAGTAAGGAAGTTTTTTTTTCTAATTTATTAACTGTAATAGATTTTAGGTCATTTAAATCAATTTGGCACTGTTTTGTTAGTCTTAATCTTCTATTTATTTTTAACACAAAAGAATAAAATAGTTTCTCGACCTACCTCACTTTTTAAAATCACCTAATTCAAATTAGGAAATCTAAATAGAATTCATAAGAAATTTCTTATACCGTCACATAAAGCAACAATACATGAGCACGAAATCCAGTTTCACTTATAAGCTTTGATATTCCTGCGCAACTTGTCTCTTAAGGGATTATATAAGGATCAAAAAGCTAAATGCGTAAAGCAAGCTAAGTCTAAAATTCATTCCAGAATTTTAGTTAGTAAATTCTATTGAATTGTATATAGAAATGTTTACTTGGTGTTTTTTGTATTTGAAAATTTCAAATGATTCGAAGTTTTTGTTCACTATCTTGTTTATATTAAATTATTGAATGGAAAATTTTCTGACCAATGTGTTTTAATATAAAAGCTTTCTCGTTTTAAATTTCTTGTGCCAAATTATTTCCAGCAAATTGTTGAGTCCTTCATCAAGCTTGCAAAATCATTGTGTCTTTTTGTATTTTATATTGTGCAAAAATGTGCTTGGACAAAAGTTGATCAAATGAATCTGTGAATAATATTGAAAAATGTATGGAGCATACACTTGTCACATATATATATATATATTATTCGAATGCCCATTTGCCAGAACAGGATTGTTTTATGCTTTATGTTATACCTCAGTTTTTTGAGCGAAGTCTTTTTTTTGTATGAAAGTTTGAATGGAACTTTTTGTTGAACGTGTTTTTATGTAGTTCAAATTTAAAATATGAAATTCGGACTTATGTCCACTTCTTTTTCTTTGAAAGATTCTTCATAGTCATTGATAACAGAACTGACTATTAATTAAGTAAAGGATGTTTTAATGGAATGAAAAGCTTGAGTATAGCACATGAGTTCATGTAGAGCATTTTATCAATAATTCATATCAAGAAAGACATACGTTTCAACAAAAAATATCATTGCACACGTTATAGATGTTCTCGCAATGTCGTGGATGTTATTTAATTTTTGTCTCTACTGGATTACAACTATTATAAATTTAAGAACAAGTATGAAAGGTTCTGAGATTTCTCATAAAAGCGATTCTCATGCGGGATTCGGATATTTGGTGTTCTCAATGAAGTATGAATTTGAAGACTAATAATCATTGTGAGGGATGTTAATACCATGACTTGAATTGCAGCTAATAATTGAGTCAGTGGTGTAATGTATTCGAATTTTCTCCAATCATTTCAAAGAACATTTGCTGGTCTTTGTATATATTTTATTTATTAATATATTTTTTATCAATAGCTCCGAACCTGAAAGATGTAGATGACAAGAGTAGATCCAACATCATCTGTCAACGACTACAAATACAGCCTATAAGCATAACAGCTTATATCACCTTTAGTAGCCTGACAGAATAATTCTGTATTGGTCAGAAACGAAAAATCATCCTTGGAGCATATTACATTGAAATGACCATCGAATTGAGCCTCAGCTGCTAACTGAATCATTTTTTTTGTCGCATTCAAATCTTTTCCAATATTCTATAATATCTCTTTGAAGAACCAAATAAGAAATTCATCAATTATTAATAATTTTTCTTTTTAAAAGAGAGGAATTTTTTTTTTCTTTAGAAAAAAGCAAAATTGAAATTAGACTTCCAGAAGGATTTTGCTGTGATGAATTCTCATTTGAAATTTTCAAAATTTGATTTGTGACTTAAATTATTGCCAAAAAATTATCGAACGCTTAAATGAATAATCATCACTTAGCAGAATATTCAACAAACAACTTTGAAATGTGTTGAATCAATCGAATTTAGAGAGAAGAACGAAAATTTTCTTTATTTTAATTGATTATGCTAAGTGAATGATTTCAGTATACTTTACCTCGAGCATTATAATTTTAAGTTTGTTATCATTACATTCTGAGTCACCGATAGTGATAAGAGATGATATTGGTATTGGTTTAATCGGTTCTTGTATTTGTAGCGTTTGATTGTGAAACTCTTCAATTGCATCCAAAAGATCAGCCACTTCCTTATCTTTTATATTTTCCTCCTTCTGTAAGTTTGGCGAATAGAAGTTAGAGAAAGAATTCTTATCATATTATGATAAGAAATTAAAAAAGAATATTAGCAACAACAAAAGCACTTTTTTTTTTTCACTGCACGAATTTGTTTTGGTAAAATTTGCAAGGATTCTTTTTCCAAACAAGAAGAAACAGATTGCTTCATCTTTCATGTTGTATTCATAAATCATTCAAGAAATTTTGTCATCATTTTTTCTTCAGAATATTTTACGAGTTAATCAATCCAGTATAGAACTCTCAGAAATTCTGAGAGTTCTAGATGAAATAGCTTTCCAGTTCTGGAAAAATAATAAGTGCACCACTGTACTCTTTTGTATACCTGAGTAAAATGCGATCTATTTCTTGCACTACTTCCGGATTTTGATTTCTTCCTTGTTTGTCTTACTGTTTGTTGCTGCAAAATTTTTTAAAATGAATTCGTTGTGATGAGTCATCTGATACCTTTCATCTTCTCAACGGTGGTCTTATGTATCATCTCTTCCTTCGTTTCAATCCAAAAAAATGAATACATACTGCAAAGTTTGGCCGTTGTTGCTTGTACGGAAGTACACTGCTGGATGATTGCGCCCGTACATTAGACTGCTGCGCTGGCAGTCTTCCATGTTGCGACAACGGTGGTAGGTAAGGTTGTTGTAATGGCTGGGATGCATAATGAGGAGGTAATTGCTGCATTGCATAAACAGGTGAAATAGGCTCTGATAATGAATTAATCTAAAATCGATAAACTTTATTAGGTTCTAATATTATAGATTGATCTGAAATCGATAAACTCAGTGATATCTAGACTGCCAGCTGATTTTGATCTGTGTAACAAAATTAGTATTAACAAGTATTCTTATAAAAAAAATATTTAATTCTTAAATAAAAAAGATCTCATGAATATTCATTTCATCAAATTTTCTTGAAATTTTAACTTCCTCAATCAAAAAGTTCTATTTAAACTTTTGTTTTGAAAGATGGAATTCGAAAATCTCAAAGATAATGTGGAAAAAAGTGAAAAAGAGTAGTAAATCATGAATAGAAAAATAGAGCAATCAGCCGTTTTATTCTTACGAATTCTTTTGATTAAAAAAGAGATCATAATAAAGTATTAAGTATTCATTCTCCTTTTACTTCTCTTTTCAAAGTTATGAATTTCACTAAGTGTGTTTGCAAGCCTTTTCAAACATCCAGCGTATATCTCTTGCTTTATCTCCCTTCAATTTCATGACTGATCGTAATCATTATAATCATATTCTTTTTATGGGTATAAGAATAATTAGAAAGTATATCAATAAAGGTAACCTGATAAATTTGAGTAGTAGTAGTTGGAGCAAACGGAAAAGGAGGAGTAGCATATGTGGGCGATGAGATTGCTGGTTGGAGCGAAAACAAGTTAGCATGACTATTGCATAATGTCTCACAAAGTTCTGCAAGGTGGTGAATTTAAATTTAGTTTTTAAATTTTAATAATACAATGGAGCATTTGTGCTGGATTTGAGAGATTCTTCCGGAAATACCACAATATATTTACCGGGGAATTTCAGCATGAAGCAGCAATCAAAAAAGGTAGTATCATAGGATGGAAATAGTAGAATGCACTCAAATAATATCACGATTTGCTTCATTTCCCTGTAACTTCTCATCAAATATTGTAGTAATGAAGCACAACCAGCAGAAATACATCAAATGTATAAACTTATTGTTGCTCATATATTTGACTTATGTTTAACATTTAAAGAGTCTCTACAAAAGAAAATTACGCTCACAGAAAAAATAACCAGATTTAACAAACTTATCGATTATTCTAACGAATTGTAGTGATATTGATTAAATCATCCTTCTGAATTCGGTGCTCATTAGTGAGGACAGAGGACAGCACCTGAAAGCACCTGAAATTGTTTAGGCATCTTCCCGATGTATTCTAAACTTTTAAAAGTGTGTCTTTTACCATTTCAGACATCACGCAACACTTTTGTCCTTTCCTTGTTCCGCCAAAATTCTTTGCATTTATTTACTTAACAACTCATTCTGAATATTTCATCAGCAAAAATTCACTCATTTGTATTATGGCAATAAGCGGATTCGGTTAAGTTATAGTTAGCTAAGTTAATTAGGTGACAGCATATACACATGGAGACGTACGTCTTTTTTGTTTCACTTAGGCATGTACGTCTTTTTTATTTCACTAAAGTAAAAGAGATTAAGTGATGAAGAATAAAAAAACGTAAAAGAGAAAAAAAGCGATCAATGATTAAGTGATGATAATAGTCGAGAAGAAGCTAAGGAACAAATTCGGGAAGATAAATGAAAACGGTAATGAGGAGGGTAGGAAAGGGTCAAATAAATTCATCGCTGACCCTATCCCAAGTCATTAAAGAACTACTCGAAATATATTATTTCTCCGTCTTTCTGCAAAAGAATGTTTTCAAATTTTCATTTCCTTCTCCAAAATTAGATGCAAGAAGATAATTTAATAACAAGGTGACAAGGTGGCTGGCATCTGCGGGATGAAATCATTCATGCGACCAGTAAGAGAGGTACTGCGATGATTGATATGGATAAGAATTCACATCGCTTAAATGTGCTAAGTCTTGAAAGAGGTACCAAGGTTTCCATGTTATACTGAAAAATTAATTCCTTTATTTTATTTTGAGGTTTTTGATAAAAGTTGAAGAACTCAGTTTTAGAATTCAGATATGTTGTTTCTCTTATTAATTGATATTTGCATCTTTCTTTAAAAAAATGTTTTCAAATTTTCATTTCTTCCATAAAAGTAGATACAACAAAATAATTTAATAACGAAATGACATCTATAAAACCACATCACCCTGTGCTTTTTTTTATTGTTTTACTTTCGTGAACAATTTGTTACTATTAATTTTTGATAGTTTCCTCAGTAATTTCTTTTTCTTCAGTTTCTCGAGAGTAGACTGAAATATCGAGGCGAGCTTTCATATATTATTAAAAAACAATCGAAACACATGTAACAAAAATTAATTAGGTATTAAAACTTGCATAATTTATGAAATTTCATCAGAGATCAATCCAAGGAATGAAAAGCAAATGAAGATATTCATCTGAACTCAATTCTTTTGAACACAATATTAGAGAAAGATTTTAAAATTGATTTGCCTTCTAAAAAATGTCATCTCAACAATTTGATCATTACTTCTCAGACTAGCTGAAGACTAGTTGATATTGTAATGAATATCATTCAAAAGTAATGGCCCAGTTATGGCTTGATTAGAATATTGGAAAAAGTTGCATCAGGTGAGAAATTTACGACTGAAGAGTGTCTTTTGTGATGAGTGAATATTCAATTAAATAATTTTCAACTAATTGAAGTCAACGAAAATGTAGAAAGACGGGAAGATATTCCCTTTTTACATAATTTACGCACCATATCCTCCTTAATGAGACAAAAAAACTGTCACATCAAGAAAAAAGTCGAAAAAAGTCAGAGCAAGTTGATATATTCTTTATTACTTACAATTGTCAATTGTCATTTGGGTAAATCTCAATTCAATCTACTTTAAACTCTGCAGCTGAAACTAGTTTTGTCATAAATAAAAACGAGGAAAGAACGGAAACTTCCGGTATTTCCCCACAAACTGATAATTATTTTTAAGACCATTTTAAATTCATTTAAATAAATGTTCGGAAAATGAAGTGTTAAATTTTGCTACTGGAAAAACGAAAGAAAATTGGATGACGTCTAAAAATTTTTCTTTCTGTTGTTGTTTTCTATTTCATGATTAATCAGTACTAAAAAAAAGAAACAAATAATTACCGGATTTTTAACCCAATGAAAAAAAAATGATACCGCTGAGATTTCCAGCAAATTAGTTGTCTGACAAATACTCATTTGTTCAGCTGTTCATTCTGAAAGAAATTGTATTTATCTAACCTTTCCCGAATACCTTTTTTTTACAGTATACACTTTTCTTTCATTCTTTTTCATTCTATCCAATGAAATTTGATAATTGTATTGTGCTAGAAGTAGTATATATTTAATATTTAAATAATCTTCTCAAAACATTTTGTTAATTTTAGTTCTTTAAAGTTGTGTTATTATTGATTGATCATTTGTTTCTCTTATCTCTGTGATGATTATGATAGACTTCCTAAAATATTACGATGTAATATTTGTGACAAATATTGTTGTATGAAAGATGACCCAAAATAGGTCACTGTTGCTATTTCTGCAAAGCTCTCCACTCTATTTACTCGAGTAAATTAGAATCATGTTTGGTTTTGAAAAAATAAGTGATTAGATGGAATGGTACCACAAAAAAATGAGGTTGCATCAATGCAGACTTGCTAATCTGCATCAGAAGTAGATTGCAGCAGGACATGTAAAATTTCAGATATTATCAATAATTCAAAAGTACTAAAGTTAATTAAGCATGTCTTTTTTCAAACATTCTTTTTTATTCACCGCAAATGATAGCAACAGACAGATCAAGTGATAAGCCCGGTCTTTTGAGCTGTTTAAAACCATCAGTAAACAAAGATGCTAGTACTTTTTGAAATGTTTAAGATGTCTTAGCTTTTTGACCGGGCTAATAACACCACTTAATAACTATACAAACATTGTATATATAAAGAGATCAAAATATTACACCCTGAAGATTAGTGTCAAATTTCTGCTATTCAGAATAAATTGGATACCTAATTGTGGACCATATTTCTTAACAAATATTTGAATAATTCTTACTATCAGTAAAATATCCACGCTTTTCTCCTATCTGTATAACATTTTTCTAACATATTAAAACAGATCTATTTCATTATAAATAACTTCATATGAGGACATCTAGCTGATAATTACTCCAATTGAATTACACTTCAACTCATTAATGAGTTTTCATTAAATTCCTCCAAAAAGACGTGTACATACCTTCTGAGGTTTGCAAATCACTTTGGCAATGAATTTGATTTTGAGTACTCATACAGGTTAAAGCACTACTACTATGAATAATACTACCACCATTACTATTGTTTCTGTCGTTATCACCGCTATCATTCCTATCATTACTACTAATTAATTTTCCACCAACAAAAGGCGACTTCAGCAGCTGTTCATCAGTTTGGTCCATTCTTTCAACTACTGATTGTGACTCTGTCCCACAAATGTGAGGATTAAAATAGAAGAATGCAAAGGAATATTCCATTTTCCCTTTTTCCACTGTCATATCAGCATAACCTTCTGCTGCATCTGTAACAAAAAAAAAAAAAAAAAAAAAAAGCTTTTTTTTTTCACATTTCAATGATAACGAATTCTTATCTTTAACAAATTCTTAATAAAAAGAACTAATCATGATGAAAGTTAAGTGAACTTTGCTATTTCAAGTTAGTTACCCTAACAAAAATTGATTGTTTAAAACAGTCAACTAAATCTGTAAATATATGAATAAACAAAATGCATAAAATCGTCACTGCTAGGAAGAGATGTTTCCTTTGATATTTAAAAAATTTTATATCTCAGCTAGAATGCTAGTTGAAATCAACCTCAAAAAAACCTACCAACAGTGAAATCGGTTTTTGCACAATATTTGGCAATATTTTTCAGTGTCATTTCCATACCATTCAGCAACATAATTCTGAGATGATAGTCTTCAGGTTGTATTGTTGCTGAACAAAATGAAATCTGCAAATGAAAGAATGATTAGATTGAAATTTGATTCATTATTCATTTCATGATAAACACTGATACAGCTAATAATGATACTTATCATATCTATTGCTCTTCTATAAGCTTCCAGAAATAATAAACATAAAAATGAAAACACTATCACATTGTCAATAAATTTTTCTATAGCAATACGACAGAGTATTGTAAACAATGCTTGTGAAATAAACAGAAAACCTGAGTGAAAGTTTCGAAATGAGAATCGGCCAGGTGATGAATGGAATAGAAAAGATCTTGAGTTGGACATGGAAAGCACAACTGTCGCAGACTCTCACGCATGATATCAACATGCAATGAAACAGTCTTAAGTTGAGTTATCATTTGTTGAGGTGTTTTCGAGAACAGATATCCTAGATAACCATTTGCCTGATACAGTGATGTGTCTGCAACCATCTTTTCTCATTCATCATAATCAGTTGTAGCAACTACAGTTATATAAATTACATATAGTGTCGCCAAATTTAATTATTAGTGATAACGGTATCTGATAATTAATGATACTATTATTGTTAACATTTAGTTATCAATACGATCTACAATGGCAAACTATTTGGAAACAATACAGAAATTGCAGATCAGACCTTTCAGTGATTGTGGTGGCACATCAGGATTACACCTTTGTAATGATCCGATATCTTTCATAATCATCATCACTTCCACAATTTTATTACATACTGAAAATCTGATAAGCTGATAATTTCTAAGGAAAAGAGGGAATCTATGCTTTTATATTTCATATCCAAAAGTTTTCTTGAAATTCTTCTTTGCTATAAGTCCACTTGCATCAAAAATTAAATATTTTCCTTCAGTGCTTGTTAAATACTTAATTTAAATGAAGTAAAAAAAGAAAAACTAACTTATAAAAACTGTATGCAAATTGTCTTCCAAAAAACTTCGTTTAGGTGCACGGCCCTTAGTACTAATAATATAACAATCGAGAGGGTCATCGCTTATCTGAAAAATCAGTCAACAATTGCAATCGGATGAATATTTCAATTTTGAATTTCTTGTGAATTCTCTATAGCAATCATTTCCAAGACCAGTTAATGTGAGCATACCTGGACTTTATCATATTGATACCAGTTGGAACACAGTACGGATTTGATATAATTTGAACATTCCTATAATGATAAATAACACTTCAAATTACTGCAGATTGTTAATTGCCAAAATTCAAATATTATCTTTTTTATTTTATGAGGAAAATTTCCAAAATTTTTTAAATTAATATTAATTTCAACACCATAAATTTAATATGCTCACGTCAACCTGTGTAAATACACATTTGTTATTTGACTACATTATTTTCATTATCAAAAATTTCTTCAAAAATAAAGTGTTATTGATAAAGCAGTTTTCATCCTAATGAAAACCAATTTCTTTTTTAAAACTTCCAGTAATAATATCAATTAGTCTAGTATTGTTATTCAAATGGATATCATTAAAATGAAATACCTGAAACTGTAGACTATCCTCGAAGGATAAATAACTGTCGATTCTAACTACTAATTCCGGAGGTAAACAATCATACAAAGCATAATCCATTGATGTTTCAGGTTCTAAATTCAATTCAACATTGAAATCCATCAATTCTGCAAAATTTTATTAAATCTTTTAAGTCAATAAACTATTTTTTTTTCTCGACGAGCATTCAATACAGAGTATAATATAAATACCAAAGAAAAATGAATTTGAGGAGAGAATGAAATGGATGAAAAAGGGTGCGGATATTTGCTCCCTCCCAACAACTCATTCAACATTTGCGCCAATAACTTTCTGCCCTTTTTGATCATTGACACTGTCATTCGTCATCAAATAAGAAGAATTTTTTTTTATAATAATACTACAATTTTGTTTCCTGTCATCAGTTTATATCATAAACTATTTTTATGCATGACAGTAAAGTTATTACTTTGAATATTAATTAGAATCGCATTCTAATCAGTGTAAGATATTTGTCGACTAATTTGATGTAATCCTTAATTTGGACTTTTAGGCTAAACTAAATTCAAATATAATATATTTAGCTTGCTTAGTGCAATGATATTTTCAAAATATAGTATGCATGTGCATTTCAAAACTTAACTACCGTATGCTAAGCCCAACTCTTTGAAAAAATGCAAGTGTAAGCTTTTTTTAAATCAATAAATCTTGTTAGAATTCTTTTTCTTGGCCACAAAAAACATTCCTGTTATGCTTTTAAAGACAATTTAATATCTGTCGCTTCTTTAGTATTTTCATAGAAATTAACCCTTTTTTGAATTTTATTAATACTTCCATAAATAAGGCAGTAAAAAGTAATGAATAGAACAAACTAATGAATCGCATCATTTGACGAAGGGAAAATTTGAATAAGAGTAAATTATGGCTGTTATATGATTGATACAGTACTCTAAGTCCCTTTTCGGAGGTTTGTGCTCGACTGGACAGGTAGTCGTAGACGTAATTATTGAATTTCATATGGTTCAGTGAATGAATAAAATGTGGCTGCATTCACTCACGTCAATTATATATTAATGGAAACTAAATAAACTGACGAATAAATGCATAAACATACACACACATGCACACATACAACGACAAATAACGATGGATATTAAAAGATGTAGAAAATCTTGAAAAACAAAACTTTGATGATGAATTGTAAGAAAAAAAAGTTAATGTAAGAAGTATGTACGTGTACCTTACGGTATCAGGCAAAATTATAAAAAAAAATGGTGTGCTAAATGAAGAAAATTAGCAAAGATTTGCTCTGCTTTATGAAAGAAGTATAAATTAAAAGAGATAACAAGTCAGGAAAGAGAAAGAGACATGAAAGTTAGTGAAGAAGAAACTATGATATTATATACTTGTCACCTGGCTAACCATAACTTTTCATATATTAATATTGATGGATTTGTTGAAAAGACTTACTAATTACTCTATCAGACTTCCACACGACAGCCATTTGTGACATCTCTTTCAATTAGCATTCTAAACAGTTTAATTTTTAGTAAACATTTCGTGAAACAAACATTACTGATAGAAATGAATTATTCTGAAATATCTTCCTTTTCACTTCACTTTAAATCAAATCTACTGTACGAATCTTTGTTATTTTCATATGGTAATTTAGAATAAAAACAAATTCTAGACAATTTTATTAATAATTTATAAGATTAAATCAAAGTCTACGTGTTAATTAATTAAAATCCCTCAAAACAAATTTGATCAAACCGAGTATAAATGATAAAAGTATTATTGTTTCAAAGAATCAATATCAGATAGATATATATTACATGGAGCTAATAGGAGCGCGCGCAAAAAGCACTTCTGTAATGAAGCGCATCAGAAAACAAAGCTTTAAACACAAATTTGATTGGCATTATGCTAGGCATTGATTAACAGTTGAGCGACAACAGTTCAACAAGTTAATGACACCTGACGGCTACGAGTTTCAATTTACTGCTCAACTTTATTCTCTCTGCTTCTTAACTACGGTACCTCTCAGATTACAATTCTTTTCTTTCCTTTATTTATGAACCGATGAAATCAAGGTTCCTATTCGGATAGAATGTAAAATATACAATTAATTTGGGAATAAAGTACAATTATTTAAATCATATTATTATTGAATCATCATTATAAAATTGCAAAATAATCTTACAAATTTCTATTGCTTAACGATTGGAGAAAATTCAATTATCGCTTATGTTGAAAGCAATAAAAATCTTAAAGAGTAATGTATGTGGAATTTAAATTATTGGAAAAATTTGCATACATTTAACAAAATTATGCATTTCCTTTAAATAAAGCAAGAAAGAGTTTAGAAAGCTTAAATTCTTTTTGAAAAGTACCAAAATAATGATTTCATACTTCTTTAATTATTTCCCTGCTGGAACTATTATGAGAGGATTAAAGTGAAGAGAGGAAAGGATTACTCATTCGAAATCCTAGACAGTAAATCCTTTTGAGAATGTTCAACTGATTGAAATAATAATGAATGCAGTTGACACTCAAACAGATCATCTAGTATTATTGTCCCTGGCATGGATATATTATCCGATGGCATTATTTTAATTCATTTAGTTTATGTTAAATGATAATTTATGATAAAAATATGAATTCGTTGTTTATTCTTATTCCTATAATAAAAAAAGAATTATTACACTGAAATGTTTATTAAAACAACTGTAATAATGTAATGTCACCTAAGTTTATACTAATATTAAGATAAGAAATTGAAACAATTTAAATGTAACTTTATGATTGATCTATGGTCATTTATGCAAAAGAATACAAAAGAGTTTGAAAGATGAAAGATTCCATTTTACTTTTTGTGTGCTACAACTCGACAGCATCTTTTATCGTTACTTAGCAACAGCAACCGCTGAACATTCATTGGATAACAACTGAGAGGGATGAGTTTAGACACTGAAAGGGAAATGAGTGGTAAGGTCGAGATTAAGGTTACTCGACTAGTTCTTCCGCCACAATTAGTGTCAGAGTAATGACCTCATCAGGTTTAAGGTCACTTTTAAAATTGAGAGTGGTCAGTGAAACGTAAGGGTAAAGCAAACAACTAAATCAGTGATTTTTTTTATTTGTGTAGGTATGTGTGTGATTAGCTTTTTTCTCATATAGAATCTAATGCTATATCTTTAAAATCTCGCCAGAAATTTAATTTTAAATAACTTTCAACTCACTTCAATGATAATTTTACTTACCAACTTACCGTATCTGTAAGGAATGTAATATTTTTACTTATATTAACAAATTTTAAACCTTTCACAATTACTTGATTTCTTGTGAATTTGTTTAGATTCCTTCAATGTTTCTATCCTACTGTAAAAAAGTTCTACGACTGTTCTCCTTAATTACTTTTACCTTTACCATTTTACTACTTACTAAGCAGAATATACCCTTCATTGAGCACCCAATACCTTGCATAATGTTTAATTTCTTGGCTTTGTAACAATCTGTCAGTTGAATCTTACGATAACAAATCATATGATACATTGTATACTGTATAATATCTGAGCCTTAAAATTGGCCATAAATTATCATTGAAGACAAAAGCATGTATTTTAGGTCGAAAGGCTAAAAAATTAATCAATAAATCATTTCTGGACACTACTCAAGGTTCTGAAAAAAAGACTCGTAATTTTTTTTTTGCTCTATAATGAAACTGTTTTTTAAAAATAACTGAATAATATACTTACTTCTAATAGACAGTTATTGTCCTCTTCTCTTCCCTTAGACCATTCCCACGTTCCAAGACAACATGAATGACCTGTGTAATCGTGTCATTATTGATTTATGAAGATGATCCATCAAACAGGCATGATTCATTCCTTTGAAACATACAGAAGTGGATGTGATAGGATGGGATGTATAATGGTGAGTGACAAGGACGCCTGGAAGTGGCGGTAATTGCCGTGCAATCCATTAGGAATACGGAATACACAGGACAGCATATAAAAAAAGTATGATAGACTGCGGAATGGACAAAGAGAACAGGAATTCAGGAGGAATTATAATAGAATTGAGGAATCGGTAACGGAGGCATAAAACGAAGATAGTGGAGTGACAATGTGTCATTTTAAAATATGTTGTTAATGTAATGTACTTTTCAACTAATGATCAATACTCAAATTCCAAGTAACCTTTTGAATTTCCAAAATTAACAATTATAATAAATTTTATCAACAAGTGATAAGGAATACAGGATAGATCATTTCATAAAGGAATTATTTGGAAATTTAAAAATCAATAAAAATTGATGAAGATGAAGGGATTTAAAAATATTCTTGAATACGATTTTTTTGTTGATGGCCTAACTAAATGTTTTGGTATTTCATCCTAAATTACTATTAATAAGCCATAATAATAGTTTGCAAAATTTTGAAATGAAGTATTTAAACGTTTTCGTTTATACGGCATGAAGTAATCGTCGAGAAAAAAAGAAGCGAGATGATAATTTATGGCCTGTTGGCAATCAATGTGAATTAGTGGCGCCATGAATAATCTTTACCATTTAACCGCTTTGACCTTCATCGTGTATTGTAAGCGATGGACGATTATTGCCATCCATCTGATAGTGGGCGCAAAAAAACACAGCGCTTCTTATACATTTCAGCTTGTTTTTCCACTGCTTAGAAAATCTCGACATGCTTTGAAAATTTTAATTAATGTAATTTGAAGAAAGCTATAACTGCTAAGACTGAGAAACAGAAACGAACCTATGATATGGTAAGTAAACTATATCGACTATCATCAAAACTATTGAGTCATAAAATTTCTATTGAAGATAAATTGAGATCTCGAAAAATAAGAAGAATGACAAAGATGAGAACTAAAGATTGATATCAGTTAAACTTTCACTTCGATATATTAAGATCTGATAGTAAATACAAGAATAATCAAGCCAAGACATCTCTTCTTGGCTTATTTGCTCTAATTTTCGGTTTCAACTCGGCTGCCAAAACTATTCTTCTTCCTTTTGGAAAACCATTCGACAATAACTGCAATCGACAAGTACCTTTTTTACTGATTTCTAATTCTCCATGCCTTTTCAGATTGATATATCTAATTCTATTGGTCGGAAA